GCCCGCAGCGACGTGTCCTCCCGCAGCCGTGAGATCCCGGCATCTGCGCGCGTGCAGCTAATTATCCCGCTACCTGGGGACTTCCCTGCTGAGGCTGGCGGGGCGGGAGATGGCTGCTCTGGTGTAATCCCCCCCGAAGGCTTGCACAGGCAGCAAGTGCTGTCTGCTAGTCCCTGGGCACCAGCCGGGAGCTCCTCCTGGCTACCGCATCTTCCATAACGCAGCCTCAGCTGAGCACGGGGGGCAGTGCCAGGATTCTGCCGGGTCTGGAGACCAAATCCTGCTTCTCGCCAGCTTCAGCACACCCCCACTGACAGAGCCCAACCTACTATTGCTGCTGCCATTGCCCTCCCCTTTTTACCCTAAGATGATCTTCCCTTGGTCCTGCACCCAAACCCCCTTTTTGGGACCCATGCACTGCTCCCTTTCCCTCCTGCACCCTCGCAGTCCCTGCCATGGCTGGTCCAGCTTCTCCACATGGCTCCTTGCAGGATGCCCAGCGATCAGGGCAGCAGCACACACACATACACACGAGCGTGTGAGCATGAGAGAGACTAGGGGGTGAACTGAAATTTAGGGAAGGTGAGAGACCCAGCACCAGCTGTGCTACATCTCAGCCCTGGGCAGAGCTGCTGGGAGGACACCTCTTGCCCTTGGGTGGCCGAAGAGGTTTTCTCCAAGGCAGAATGGGGTGCACACAAGGGGCAGGCTTACAGCTGGTCCCAGTCCCTCTGGGACTTACTGGTCTGGTGTGGTAAGGGCCTGGATGTGTTTCTTGTTAAGCCAGAGCCTAAAGAGCAAGGATGGGGGAGGCAAGATGCTGCCAAACCACCTTCCTGCTTGCTGTCCTACTCTCCCACCAACACTCAGACCCTCCATGACCACACGGCTTCCGCCTCCCCGTGGCTACCACAGATGACTCCAGTGTCAGCTTGCCAAGGAACCCTCATTTCTCCCTGCCCCAAGGTGTTCCCCGCACATGTGGGAGACAGCCACTGGCACACCTTTTTGGAGACAGAGACTTGGTGCAGGGGTGGGGAGCAGCATTGCACCCCGAGGACTTAGCACTGAGACCTTCCTTTCCTCTGCAGAACCATGGGGGTGCTGATGTCCAGGCGGCAGACGGTGGAGAAGGTGCAGAAGGTCAGCTTGGCTGTGTCAGCCTTTAAGGACGGGCTGCGGGAGCAGCCATCGACGTGTCGGCAGGCAGAGGCGGGGGGCACACGCCGGGGGACACTCGAGCAGGAGGTGCAGGAGGCAGAGGAGGAGGCACCAGCAGGACCTTCCCAGCCGGAGGAGAGCAGCGCCAGCAAGG